GGCGGGTGAAGTTAACCATGGCGGGAAGCTTGCAAGACAGAGTCCGTGCCACAGACGCCCCCCCACCAGGGATGGTCTTTGCCGAGGGAGGCGAACCTTTAACCTCACCACCCAGCTACCCAAGTCACTCGGCTACTGAGCGGGCCCCAACCCCACAGCGCCTGAACCCAGGAGCCTCCGACGGCGCGACCTCATGCACATCCCCCACGTAATGCAGGGCAATGGGCAGCTAAGTGACTTCCCCAGGGACTCGCCGAGAGCCTGTGGCAGAGAGTGCAGGGAACTGAGCCATCCTTTCTCTGCCTGGCCACGACAGAAGTAGCCACGCTTGCCTGAAGGGTTGATCTACTGGAGGGCTCCTAGCTGGCGTATGCCCGGCGGGCAGGCAGATGTAGCTAGCCTGCTTCTAATCAGTGTGCAAACCCAGGTGGAGCAACTAATACACAAGAACCTTACCCCACCCCACGCCCCAGAGACTGCCTGCAGCTCTGGTGGGTGGCCTCCTGCTAGCCACACACAGGACAGTGTAGCTACACAGCCTGCTACCCCTCTGTGCAGCATGGGAAGCGCTTCCGGCCCTTCCACTCGGGCTGTGTCTACACGGGGAGGGCTGGGCGATCAGCACGGTCGACAGGCAAAAGTTGCCAAAGTGAAAACCAGCCAAACCGTCTTTTCTGCCTCCTGTTGTCGACATTTGATAGAGCAAAGCATCGTGGGGAAGCATCCCACAGTGCAGTGCGATGGGAAGGGACAGCTGATTCCCGCGCTTCTTGGGATTCCCTTGTAGCTCTGGAGGCTCTCCGTGCTGAGGAACGTCAAAGCAGCACAGCAGCCTCTCCACCCTCCCCCGGCAGCAGCTGTGCTGTGCTCCTAGCCAGGCAGAACAGGCGCATCCCAATGATTTGCTCTGTTTCCCAGAAAAAGCAGCTCTCTCGGCTGTCTGACACTTCCTGAGGGGCGCAGGCCTGCAGGGCAGCAGAGATCGCAGAACACTGAGCAGAGCCAGCAGGGCAGGCATTCCGGGATACTGGCGGAAGCCAGTTCTCTGGACAAAACAAACTGCAGAGTCCACACTGGCTCTTCGTTGACTGCAAGGGGAGGGGAAAAGACGAAAGTCTCTCGCGGAGCTGGAAGTTTTTTGTGGGCAGAACTGGGTGTTTTTTCTGACAAAAGTCGCACTTGCTGTTTTGTTGCCAAAAGGCAGTTTTGGGCGACAAAACGTGCCAGTGTCGACAGGACTCGAGACTGAACCCAGAGGGTCCCTGTGGGGAACCCTACCTCCTCCAGCCCCCTCGTCAGTGGGGTCCCACAAGGCTCCCTGCTCTCCCCCACCTACAGGAAGCCACTGGAAGGATGAGGCAACATGGGCTTGAGCGCCAGCAGGACAAGTATGACCCCCCGCTCCAGACGTCTCCATGTCAACAGGAACCGCCCCGCTGCCCTGCTCTCTCAGGGCCTAGCCCGTGTCCAGGGAGCAGCTGGCCAAAGATACTGGCAGGCAGGCGGGGAGTGCCTCTGTAACACTGCCTGCTACGGAGAACACCTGCCCTGGGCTGTTCGCTCAGGCCGTGACCTAGGGCTCCTTTCAGACTCCTCCAGCTATCACGCGTCCCATCAGCCCAGGGGCAAAACATCCCCACTTCCTGCTGCGGAGGTCTGGGAGACTGCCCTGTCCCCTCAGACGCAGCCCTGGCCACAGAGCGCTCCCATCCTGGCCCTGCTGCAGGCTTCGTAGTCACAGCCCAGGACGTAGATCCAGGGGTGGAGTCAAACGCCCTTTACGTACCACAGTGGCCTGACTGCTTACCCAAACTCGCCGCAGCAGCACCCACCCAGCACACTGGCTCCCTAGCCAGAGCCCCCTAGGGTCTGTCCCATTTTCCCAAGAGACACCTCCCACAACAGTTGCACCCCACTTCGACCGGGAACCTGCCGACCATTATGGCAGAGACTCGAGAGGGCAGGAGCCAAGACTCCCCCTGGAGCTCGACCAGCCTACGGAACTCACTGCCACAAGAGAGATGACACCGCAAACCTCCGAGTATCCCGAGCTCAATGCAGCGCTTCAGCTTCGGGATGTTCGATATCGGTTAATTGAATAGTCGAGTAGCCTCGTGAATTCTTATCAGTTACACGACTGTTCTATAGTCCCCAGAGGCGGGGCCGGCAGGCAGCGGGGCCCAGCCTCACCT